TCAGGTGGGCTGCATGGTAATCCTACTTTGTCCTAGTTTGTTTACTCTTCCAGTCTCTAAGTTGACTGCAGTTCTTTTCTCTCCCCAGTTTCCAACACCTCCAGTTCTACACTCTCAGCTGATAGCCTCTGTATTATTTTATTGAGAAACAGACCACTACCTGATCTTCCAACTAGACAGTGTTTCATTCTGCTCACATCTGTGCTCATGAACTCTGTCTTTCCTCTTGTTCCTTTGTGCACAGAATCTCACCACCTTCTACCTTCTCAAGGATTTTGTTTAAAGTCTCTAGAGACTGGGCCTCAATGCTCTTTCTTTTCTATAAACGTTTATCCTTAGGGTCTCTCAACTAGTCCCCTCATTTTAAGGATGTATTGATGTCTCTGGATGACTATGGAGCATCCCTGATGTGTCTATTCCTTACCCTGAGCACTTAATTCACCTAGAATGAGACTGCACAAGGACAGAAAGTAGAACAGTGGTTACCAGCAGCTGGTGGGAGGGGGCCATGGGGAGTAAGTGTTTAATGAGCAGAGTATCAGCTTGGAATGATGAAAACGTTCTGAACATGAATGATGGTGATGGTTGTACAACAACAATTTGAATGTACTTTACACTGCTAAATTATACACTTAAAATGTTTAAAGGAGTAAATTTTAAGTTGTATGTAGTTTACCACAATAAAAATTTAAAAGATCATATAAAATTTAAGAAGACAAGTAAATCTCTCTCAATATGTGTGTGTGTGTATGTGTGTATAGTGCCAAAAGATCTATACATATTTTAAGAGATGTTATCTATGCATTACTTTTGAAGTTGAATTGAATTGTAGTAACGTGTAGTGTGACGTTCGCTCAACCATGCTTCCACCATTTTCTTTGACTGTTCAGCCTGTCGCATGGTGACTCTAGCATTCATTTGATCAATGCCATCTTTTGAGTGAAAGTTATTCTTCAAATGTGTACACATTTTTTGGCACTCTGTATATATGTAATATATATATAACCCAACCACTTTTTCCTCCTCTGCTAACGCCTTCCTTCTTCAAACCCCTGTGAACTCCCACCTGCATTATCGGAAAAGTCTCTTGAAGGCATCTCCTTGCTTTTTGTCTTCTCCTATCTCAGTTGAATCTATATGCACAAAAGCAGGGTGATGTTTGAAGGCGTAACCGAGGGCCCGTAACTTGCCAGATCTAAACTTGGTTAGAATAAACTCCAGTTTTTCAACAAGCTTTCTCTGTTCCTCACTGACCCCCAGGGACTTTGTTTCTGCTTTCCTTTCCTCAGAACACTCTTTCCATAGCCCACCCCTCATTTTATTCAGGTCACTGTATGAATGTCATCTCTTTGTAGAGGCCATTCCTGATCACATAGTCTAAGGTATCTCCCAACACACACATGCATGCACACGTGTACACAGAGACATATCTTATTCTGCTTCATTTTTCTTTATAGCACTTTTTACGATCACATATCATGTATTTACTTGTTTTCTTACTTCTCTGTTTGCCCCTATTGACTTAAGCTCAATGAATTGTTTATTGCAGTTTTTCTAGACTGTATCCATGACTGGTACTTAATAGTTTTCAATGGTCATTTATTTACTAAAGGAATGATTGCGATTGTTTCTTGCATATTAAATTTGAAGTGTTGAAAATTGCAGATAAAAGAGTGTTGTGAAGCAGGTAACTGCTCATGTCTGTAAAGATTCTCTTTTACGTTCAAAGCCCATCAATCACGTATAACAGGACAAATGCTTCTGTCCTGCCAGTAGGAATGCTTCAGTTGGCAGTAGAAATGCATGGGGGGAGGGGAGACAATGAGATCATGGAAGCCAGCGTGCCCAGAAAAAGGTCAAACACCTGGTGCTTGGAATATGCTATTAGTGATCATTGTCATACTGATGTGAACAGGTTGAGGGTCTCAAGCAGGACTCATTTAATATGTAAGGGAAATATTCTTCAGAAAATTGTGTCATTAATGTAAGAAAATAGGTTTGTTTATAGGAAAGTACAGTATGCAGGTCACCTCTAAGTGATGAGGAGGTATGACAATTTAACAAGGAAAATGCTGAGGAGATTCAGACATCTCTGGCGCCATCTTGGGCATAAGAGTTGGTGGACAGTGTTATTGTGGTATAGTGTTTGATTTTCAGGAAACTGAGTTCCACAGTTGTATTTTAGATCTTCTAAACTTTTGAAGCAGGAAATGAAAAAGTAAATGGAATTTTCAGGATGAACTTATAAAATAAAATTTTATTTTTAAAAGAATGACATAGTGTCTAGATTAGAAAGTAGATTTGCTATTCTAAAATATTGACCAGGGATTGCATTAAAGGTTTGTATCCATGCTTGGTTGTTTTATGTTATGACCAGGTCAACCTTTATCTGTCCTTCTTAGTTCAGTTCTAGAGGTTTCTGTGTTCCTGGTGGGTACTTTGCTGCTAACTGAACAGAGACCTCAACATCCTGCTTTATCTACTTTAAAGAGCCTAGGTCTCTTCTTAGCTCTGAGGAACTTGCCACTCCCTCCCTGCTTTGGAGCTGAGTACAATAATGAGGAAAGTTGACCTAATGACTTGTGAGTCACTCAATTGTACAGTGACCTATCACCTCATGGAAACCTAAGGGCCCTTGGCAATCATCAAGTTCAGGGGTAGAACTGGTGTACTATAGCTCATGGGCAAATTCCTAACCCTGCCCCTTTTAACTTCCTGTGACCTCAGGGACTTTCCTTGGTTTTTTAACCACCCTTTTACCATTTAATTATATTCACTGAAGAGGAACTTGCGGGTTTCTATGAAGCCACAAATACAGTGCCCAAAGTAAGTCCCCTGGTGCAGGGGTCTGTGCCTCTCCCCTGCTTTGGTCCCTAGACCCTGACTGGTTCTCTCCTTGTCAACGTGCCCATGTGCATCTACCTGCCTTGATAAACTGGCAAGGCATCTCCATAAGTGGGATGCCATAGTCCCTGATGATCTACCCAAGGACTAGCATCTGTAGTGGCTCCTCGAGCATCCTTGATGTCCTGGCCATCTCCCTATCCTGTTCTTCAGCTCCACGCTGCTTGGCTCTGTTGTCCATGAGCCTCCCTGGGCCTCCCCTGCAGGGTCACTCACACATACAGCACCTCTTTGAGTTCTGGAAAGGCACTCCTCCAGGCACACACATGACAAAAGGGTACTCCCTCTGAGATGACCAATAAGAAAAAGGCATCTTTTCTTCTGGGCAGCCTGGAAGGCACAAAGCTTGACTCACAGAGCGCCCTTTGGGTTTTAACTCCTGCTCCCATCGCCTTTGCCAGATATGTAACTCACACAACAACACACTCACCACTGCTCCCTGCACTACTGACCAACCAGCCCAGCTGCCACGTAGGCCTGGCACAATGACAAGCTTTGCCTGTCTGGACAGGTTTAGTATCATTACCAAGTACTGAACTTGACCCTGAATTTTCTCCTTGTCTCCCAGTTCCCATCTTCTTCAGCTTCCAGCTCACTCCTACTTAAGCTCTCCTTCTTAATGTGATGGTGTAAAAAAAAAAAAAAAAAAAAAAAAAAAAAAATTAATGCTGTAGCCTATAAAAACCTAAATAGATAACACTATTTGCCCATCCTCTCAAATATCACAGTGAAATTCAGTTGTGACCAATCACCCACTGGTCACAATGATTTGTTACATTTGATCTCTGCTGGTCTCTGGATCGTTTTCTAGCCTTTTCTATACATTTGTCCCCAAGATGATGTTCATTTTGGGATAATACTATGTATCTACTTTCCAAAGACAGTTGGGGAAGGGCCTTTCCTAGTACAATTTTTGTTTCAGACCTAGGTCAAATTTTATTATTCTAGACTGTGAAAAATATGAAAGTATGACATTTGACAGCTTAACCAGTAGCAGTGGTCCCTAAAAGGTAGAATCACGAAAGAGCATATAGGAAGATGTGGTCTGATAGATCTGACATCCCAGTTCTAGGAGGAAGATGGAAGTAAGAGGATCCATTCAAGACAGTAAAAAAAAAAAAAAAAAAAATCCAGAGAAAAGAAAAGTGATTTGGACAAGTTGAATTACAGTACACTGAACTTTTGAAAACTTATTTAGCCAAAAAGAATCTTTTGTTCTTTGGAATTGCAGACTTTGGAATTTCAATCAATTAGATCAAAGTTTCCCTGATGGTTCACATAATTACAACAAAGTTTGAGCTTGACATGCAGCCTCAACTGTTACTTTATGAAAACAAATTGAATTTTATTTTGTGAGGAAGGACAGTAAGTTGTTTTCATACTTCGATCATATTTAATTGCAAGCCACTTACTGGTTTAAGGAGAATTGCTGTTTTTTATTATACTAATTTTCGCAGTTAAAACAAATATTTCTACAATAAAGATAGCATAGAGCATATAAGATATAATGTTAGTATAATTAAGTGATACATATACATATATACATATATTTAAATACATATGACTCTAGAGACAATGAATAATACATACATAAAATTAAGAGGCAGAATTAAAATTTAATCAGGATAGTTTCACATGTTTTAGCTTAGAAAATGTTCAGTTTTCTTGAAATACTTTGCATAGCCAGATTTATGCTAAGATCAAAACCTGATTTTTTTTCTTTTTTGACCACCAAAAAAAAAAAGCATAATAAATAGAAACATTTCTTCTAGAGTGCCTTTCCTCCTTAAAGTACTGTGCAAAAGATGTAGAAAAATTTTGGAAAGTTTGTGTGCATTCACAAACCCCTGGTGGGGTTGAATTTTTCGTACATTATGAATGAGCTGGAGTCACTAATTGTGTAATGAAATCTTATGCCTCCAATTGTCCCCCTTTGGATGACTTCCTCTCATTCTAAGCACTGGCCCAACAGAAATTATGATCCACATTTGAAACTTTCTCAAGTTTTTATACTAATGGTTCAAGGTATACTTATAGTTACTCACTTTTGCCATAATTCCTGCAAGGCATGACAGTGGGAACAATGGTCTACTTACTTGTGTTTATCTTCTGGAGTGAAATATGCTTTTCCAGTTGTCTCCGAAGTTTCACCTCTGCTCCATATTTCCCAGTGGTCCCGTTGTCGGCCAGAATGAAATGGGAATGCATGCTGTTGAGAACAGTGAGCTTGCTCATGGGATTGGACATGGTCTGGTATGGCCGGACGACCTGCAAGGTATCAAAATGAAGAGACAGAAGTCAGAGAAAAGAAAACAAGCTAGGACAAGGAGAATCAGACAGAGGAAAACAGGGAAGAAAAAACATCAGCTCTTTGGTACAGTGAACATCCTTTTCTTAATATTGCTTTGGGTAGAAGCAGGATTTGTGGTAAAAGTTCCACTTAAAGAAAAACTATGCTTAAAGAAGTATTTATTTATTGAATTCATACAGAAAATAGAATTTGTGCTTCTATTGTACTCAAAAACTGGCATGCCAATGAATATTTCATTCTGAAGTTGATCTCTTATTTGCTAATGAACCAAAATAATTTTTTTTTTTTTTTTTTTTAGTTGGAGTCTCACTCTGGCACCCAGACTGGAGTGCAGTGGCCGCTTCCGGCCACTACAGCCTCAATCTGCTGGGCTCCGGCGATCCTTCCGCCTCAGCCTTCCAAGTAGCCAGAATTACAGGCATGCGCTACCACACCCGGCTGATTTTTTGATTTATTGTAGAGATGAGGTCTCGCTGCCCAGGCGGGTCTCGAACCCGCGGGCTCAGGCAATCCACTCATCTCAGCTTCCCAAAGGCATGGGATTACAGGCTGAGCCACCGAGCCCGGCTCAAAATAATTTTTAATACTAGTTATTTTGTTTCTTTCTTTCCCTTCTCTATCGTGTCCATACTTTAATAAACACAGCAGAGCAACTGTGATTCTAGAAAATGTCAGGGGCAGGGTGGGTGGGGGTGGGGATAGGGGGAAATGTGATATTTTCTGTCAATCCCATTCAGTGATCTGAAGTTCTATCATTTAAAATAAACATTGTTCTTAATAGATACCTCATTGAAGTGGAAATCTTGAATGTAAAATAATTGTCTCAAGAGACTAATATGAATTAGGCCCAAAATGTTCACTTCTGTCTTATTCTACTTTTTTGGTTGTTATTTTAATTTCATGGTGAATTATACTACCTAAAATAGAGCAATTTCAAAGTAGTCCTTCAGATTTTTGGAATAAGAAGAAAAGCAATACTTATGGTAAGCTAGTTGCTTTATATACATTATCTATACTCCTTACAACAATCCTGTAATGTTCATTTTGTAGATGAAGAAACTGAGAAATTGAGAGATAAAGTAAGTTTTCCAAGAGTTTACTACATTTACAACCAGAATTCACACCCAGGTCTGCCTGATTCTAAAATTGATGCCTATTTCCTTTTCCCACACTGCTTTAAATCAGTGGAATCATAAGATGATGTGTTGGAAATCTGCTCACGAAATATTTAGCTGGGAACTTCACTCAAGACTTCACTCAAGAAGCTCATTGTTACACGGTCTAAGGACGGCTATCACGGTACAGAATCATCAACATTGACAAGACAGAAATAAAGGCTACAGGGTTTTTATTTCTGTGCCTTTGTGCTGGGTGTACGTTAATTATAGTGTTGAGATGCTCTAGTTCTTTCTCAGTATGCAATAACTCACTGTGAAAAGCTGTAGGAAGATTGATTAGTTTGTTAAAGAAATTACAAAGTGATTTAGTAAGGGCAGTCTTCAAAGGTGACGATCTCATGTAAGTCATATTTTAGACCTTGATGCTAACCCAAAACCCCACATTTCTATGTGACTGGCAAATAAAATGTACTCAGTAAATAGTCAATGAATGAACAGGCAAACTTGAAACAGACGTGCTTTTGTTCAAAGCTAAAAAAAATTCTTTCTTTTCTGAATTGTTTGGGAATTGATCTAATTAAAATGTGAAACATAATTCTGAGTTTTTTGAGATAGTTGTCAGTCTGATTAATAAATACCCCATTTATTAATGTAACATTAATATAATGTTAATTCATAGCTTTATTTTAGGTATTTCTTATTAATAAAGGATGTTCATAACCTTTTTGATCATTATCTCTAGTAATCACATAGAGCAGTGATCAATTACTCCTTTGTCTAAATAAATGCATGAAAGTGCCCCAAATATGGAGACAGTGCTTTGCTGATCCCAGCCTGAGTTCTTTATCGTTGGAAGAGTAGAGTGCTTATTGTTGAAATTCCCTTTTTTTTGCTACTCATTTTTTTTATCACAAAGCATTCATTCTACAGAAGAGCATAAGTTAATAAATATTAATGCTCTCTTGAAAGAGGCGTAGCAGAAAGACTTTCTCCTATTCTTAAAGTGCCTCTGTGCTGTGCTTTGGACAAAAGAAAATGTTTTAGTTACTTTAGTTACTGTTCTCTCTTTCTAATAGCAGTTCCTGCAAGACTCCTTGAGAAGGAGGGGTAAGACACAAAGCAGACTGTGAGAAGCAGGGGACAGCAGTTTTCTAAAGGTTAAACTGTGTGTGATAGTGAACCTCAGGCATTTGTGCTGGCTGAGACATGAGCCCACATTTTAAAATTCCTAGGAATCTACTTAAAGACTATCAGTGAAAGTGAAATTCTGAAATGAATAAAGGAATGAAAATGATTCTGGGCTAAGCTGTTGTATTCTCTACAATCTGAGAATAAAAGAAGATAATTAAATCATCTGACTATGTTCTATACACAATATCTTTTCTAAGGACGTCGATGCTTCAGTCTTTTGACTTTTGACCTTCTTTTCTTGTGAAACATAACTCAGCAGCTCTTTGAAAATACTGCACATCTGAATTAGTCATGGCAAGAGGGTCAAATTTACAGTGTCACTCATGAATTTTAATTTCTTCCTCTTACTGATCCTCATTTCTTTAGATCTTATGTGAAGGCAAGTTAAAGGTGATTATATTTTGGCAGAGAGTTTGTCTGTTGAATAATAGAGGATATAAATCTGAAAAATAAGTAAAACGCCCTAATTTATTTTTCAGCCATCATTGGAGAAAGATGTGCTGGATCCTGGAACAATCTAGAACATATGAATCATGGAGATTTGTCTGAATCCCAGTTCTGCTAATGGCTGTGTGAAAATCTTTTAATCTGTGAAAGGGAAATGATAAAACCACTTACCTCTTGAGGATTAGTTGAGATTTTATGTGCAAAGTACCTGGCACCATGCCTGGCTCACAGCAGGCATTCTATAAAGGGTAATTCCATCTTCAACTCTGCTCTATTTTACCAACCTTAAGCTGATTTTCCAATTGTAAATTAGTGACCAAAATGAAATGACATGAGACAAATCAGTGACTTTTCTTTTGTGGTGAGAGATTTAAATTATTGTAAGTAAAGAAAAAAAAATCAGCAATCTGTTGGCAAAATAAGCAAAGTGTTTTTTCTTTGCCATGTCCTCCCAAGCATCTAAGAGAGTGATGGTCTGGAACTATTATTATGATGATTAACTGAAAAGTTAGAAATACTTCCCAAATACCTCAGAGGAATGCAATTTGGTCTAACTTCTCTACAAAATGCACTTAATATTCTTCATAACAAACATGCCAGCAGTCTATATTTGTTTGAGTTATAATTTACATATCTACAGAAGATTTGCTGATCTTCCTGTTATGTTTTCCAAATAAAAAAATAATTTTTTTTTTTTTTTTTGAGTTGGAGTCTCACTCTGTTACCCAGACTGGAGTGCAGTGGCCGCTCCCGGCCACTGCAGCCTCGCCTGCTTTTGGGCTCCGGCAATCCTTCCGCCTCAACCTTCCAAATAGCTGGAATTACAGGTGTGCGCTACCACGCCCGGCCGATTTTTTGATTCATTGTAGAGATGAGGTCTTGCTGCCCAGGTGGGTCTCGAACCCACGGGCTCAGGCAATCCACTCACCTCAGCCTCCCAAAGGCACGGGATTACAGGCTGAGCCACCGAGCCCGGCTGAAAAATAATTTGTTAATAACTCGAATACAAATGAATTTCTTCCTCTAAAAAAATTTTTGGTGGTAATATAGCCACTTTCATTGTTAAGTACTCATAAAAAGAGGACAATAATTTTGGAAATGTGTGTATGTGTGTGTGTGTGTGTGTATGTGTGTTGAATAAAAATACTTATAACATGCTCATAATTTGCAGTTATATTAGATGACGGTAGCATGTTTCTCAGCAAAGGTTTCCTGAGAAAATCAAGTTCTAGTGCCCTTTAGCATCCATTGCATAGAATAGATCACTTTCTCTCCTAAAAATATAGGATAGTACAGGTTATGTACCATCCTTGGGAGAATTGAGAAGACAGTCACTCAAATACTTTTTTGTGTTTTACAGATCATATAAGAAACCTGCACTGGGAAAGATCGAATCATGTGTGAAAGGTCTTCATACTGGGTGAGTTTTCCTGATTGGTAAATCTAGTAGTGTTTATACCTTGAAGGAAAATTTGCTTAGAAGTAGATTTTAGACACTTAGTACTTACTCTCTGAGCATCATGAACCAAAATACATCCAAGTAATGAGATTTTGTCCCTAAAGTGTATTTGAGAAAATTCTTCACTCATTAATCCACTGTACATCACTTAGTACTGACTGATTGATAAAATTCTGGTTCTACGCTCTCTATACCTTGGCTTTGAAACAAGGAAATCCTGTAAAATGATGTAGGGGCTGCTTATGGGTTTAGTAGGAGGTAAAGACCCTTTTATGTAAGGCATTAGTAGGTTAATCATCATTGCCAGGAAGAGATTGATTCAAAGATATTGTGGAAAAACTGAAAATCCTTCATGTGCTGGTGCCAGAGTGCTGAATTTATCTTTCCTGGATGGGCTGAAATCAGTGATTTGGAAGCTGATCTTAGACATCTGCTTGAGTTTTCCTAGCTACTTTCATGCATGTTCTGATCTCACCCAGGAGTATTAAGCAGAAAGTCAGGAGATGGGGGCTGTATTTCTAGTTCCTCTAATTACTAATTTGTGACCTTGGGCAAGTTTCTACATTCATTCATTCACCCATGCATTAAGAAATTCTTAAGGAAATGTAGTATGTGATAATATTATGCTGGCTTGAGAGGACACATAATTATGCATTAGATAATATCTCACAATATCTGTTCAAAATATATTCGTTGAAAAAACTTTTTGGACAATAGTTTTCTCATCTGTAACACAGAGGAC